CACTGAGCTAAATCCCTGGACCTTGTTGTTGTATATATTTGGTACCAGGGTTTGAACTTGGGCCCTTGCGCTTGTGAGGCAGGCAGTGTGGAACCACTGAGCCAAGTCCCCAGCCCTCTTTAATCATTTTAATTAAGCACCTCCTACATGCAAGATGCTATCCTAGGTAATTGAGCTACACCCATGAGCAAAGCACCAAAAATCTTTTTTCCTTCCTTAGAAAAGGGGCATCCAATATTTGGTACCAGGGTTTGAACTTGGGCCCTTGCGCTTGTGAGGCAGGCAGTGTGGAACCACTGAGCCAAGTCCCCAGCCCTCTTTAATCATTTTAATTAAGCACCTCCTACATGCAAGATGCTATCCTAGGTAATTGAGCTACACCCATGAGCAAAGCACCAAAAATCTTTTTTCCTTCCTTAGAAAAGGGGCATCCAGGATCTTGTGCTTTCTTCATATTGGACTCTCAAATGAAATCCTAAGCACTTTAAAAGTTTCAAGTCTTAACAAAAGTGTAGCCGTCTGACTTCTTGCAGTGGACTCTTGGTTCATGCATCTGAGTCAGGGATTTGCTTTCTAAGCGCTGCAGCTTAGATTCTGGAGCCGCTCCACCCCAGTGAGTGGAGGTCGAATGGCATGAGTTCCACCTAAAAAGCCTGTGTCCCTTTGGGAACTGGCTCCCTCTCTTCAGCTTTGCTGAAAATTCCCCAGTGTGTAAGAAGACTGCTGCAGTTTCACTGACCCTGATGAGTGATCCTCAGGTTCTCCATTTAAAAAACTCATTGGTCCTTGACTACGAGACACATTATGTGGCCACCACGTGAAAGTGCTCAGCCCACGTGTGAGTCCATAATCCATGTGGGCAGAGCCTTGTGAGAAGTTTTCCTAACATCACCTCCCTGCTTCCTCCCATCTCTGCACTTACAACCTGCCAGGAAAGAGTTCAAAGCAATAAACGACCTACCTGTGGCCCCACGGCTGTGAAGAGCCAGCACTGGAATCTGAACTTGGGTCTGACTCCGAAGTCCACGTCTTTTCTCTTGTGATACACTGGAGCCCTGTTTTGGAGAGCCTGGTGCCTGAATCAGTGCTGAAAGCTGTCGAGCAAGGAAATACTCCCCACCGCACATGCATCCAGGACTAATTTTAGGAGTGATTCTGCTAGAAACCAATAGGGAACGGTGTCGTGGGGAGAGGTGTTCGTGTAGCCTCAGGCCCTAGGTAAGAGGTGAACCACTGGGGAGCAGGAGGGCAGGTAGAGGACGTACAGACCTCACGGTCATGGACAGATGGAAGCCACGGAATCTGATGAGAGACAAGAGATGGCAAGAGGGAGAGCGGAGTGAGAACTGAACTCTGAAATAGAACTGTGGCTGCCCTGAACCAATGTCACGGCCTAGAGAAAGGAGCAGGCTGAGCAGCAGATACGTTTCTGCTTTCCACACGTTGAATTTTAAGTGTTGATAAGCTGCCAAGAAGTCTCTAGTGCACAGTGGGACATCAAGGTCAGAAAACCAGCACAGAATAGATACAAAGGTCAGTTTGAAAGGTACAAGAACCAAAAAGGGTGGTCGGAGAAATAAGATGAGAACCAGAGTGCTAGGAGAGAGGGCTTCAAGGCAGAGAGGAGACCTTCGGAAAGTCAGACTGAAGTAGAGCGGAGTCCTTGTCCTCGGCCCCTCCCTGTGGGATTCCTGCCCCCTCCTCCTAAGCCTCACTGGATTCTCTCCTTGTATGAGCTACCGATTTCTCTGGCAATATCAGAATTGTCCCTTTTACCCCAAATCTGGCCTCAGCCCATCACTGACCCCTTATACTCCCAGATGTGTTTTTCAGATTTAAACAAACAGTAGTACACGGTGGGCCTTTAAAGTAGCAGGGCCTGTTTCTATAAGCCCTATATGAAAATTACTTTCATTAGTTTATATTCATAACAGATTCAGACTTTCTTAATATGAAGTATATTCAAGAGAGGATCTGTATTTTCTGTATCTGAATCAGATTCCTAAATTGTTTTCATTTCCTTTAGTTTATTTTTAGGAATATGTTTTGTTTCTGTTTGAAACAAAGGAAATAAATTAAACTAAAATTATTTATTGTACTAAAGAGATTTGTTGATAATCTTGATAATTTAACACATTTGTGGTTTCTGACTTACTACATTTAGAACTCCCTAATTTAACTGGCCCAAGCTTGCATAGGTTTGTTTTTTTTCTTTCTTTTTTTTTTTTTTTTTTTGTACTAGGGATCTAAATCAGGACCTTGTGCTTTTGGGAGGCAGGTGTGGGCACCACTTAGCTAGATACCCAGCCCTGAAAATTCACTTTTTAATCTACTTGATTTGAAACTTCAACAGTAAATAATGTTTATTTCTTGGAGGTCTAAATTTCATGAAAAGAACTTTAAATGATCCTGGCTTCAGCAACCTGTAGAGACCAAGAATTGCCTTGTTTTGGTTAAAGCTGAAATATTTGTTAGGTTCTTTACCAAGTCTCTTACTTAGGCATAGATAAGGAGATTCAGACAAGAAATTTCTCCTACCATGGAAGACCCATTATGTGACTCCTAAGAATCCTGGGCTAACTGAATGAAGCACAGGGCAGAAACCCCCAAAGATCAACCATTAGGGAAACCACAGAACACACAGTCATCCAGATTTTGAGCAGGGTGTCCAGGGCTTCACAGGTCAGTGTTTCATGGAATTGGAAATTGGAATGTCCCACAGAAGTCTTTGGTGTGTCCATTAAGCGGGGGTCACAGTGGAGGCAAGA